CTCAGACAACAGGCTGGAGGATTTCTCCCAACATATCTGTGGAGTACAAAAGCAGTGAAGCAGCAACAGTATTTAAAATGCTAGTCATACGAAGGGTACAATACAATGAAAACAAACCTAGTGGCTAAAAATAGAAGGCAATGAAAGAAAAGCTTGCTTTCTTTATATTCATTTGGAACAAGAGTCAATTCATCAGTTAAGGAATCTACTTTTTGGCTATTATGAAATTTTTAACAGTTACATTGAAACATAATCCATATACTGTGCAATTGACCCACTTAGAGGGTACAGTTCAAAAGCTTTCACCATTTCACAGAGCTGTGCAACCATCCCCGCAGTAAATTTTAGAAGATTCTCATTCCCTGCAAAAGAAAAGTCCATGCCCCTTTGCTGTCACCTGTGATTCTGCCATTCACCCCAGCCCTAGGCAGCCACTATCCACGTTCTATCTCTATAGATTTTCCTTCTGTGAACATTTCATATTAATACACCTTTTGTGATTGGCTTCTTTCACTTACCGTAATATTTTCAAGGTTCATCTATGTTGGAGCATGTATCAGTACTACATTTATTTGCAATAATTGTAATAAGTACCACACTTTGTATTGATGAGTAATAATCCACTGTAGGGATATACCATATTTAATATGCCAATTTATCAGTTGATGAATCTACTTTTTGGCTATTATGCATAATGCTGCCATGAACATTCACGTCCAAGTTTATGTGAATGTGTTTTCATTTCTCTTGGGTATATAGGAATGGAAACACTGGGCTGTATGCTAAGTCTATGTTTAACCATTTGAGGAACTGAGGAACTGTTTGTCCGAGTCGCTGTACTGTTTTATACTAAGGATTTTAGTTAGTTTCCCTTTTTTCTTTTTCTCTTTTCTTTACTTTTTTTCTTTTTTCACGTAAGCTCCACACCCAGTGTGGAGCCCAACACAGGGCTTGAACTCAAGACCCTGAGATCGAGACCTGAGCTGAGATCCAGAGTCGGCTGCTCAACTGACTGAGCCACCCAGACACCCTTAGTGTGTCACAGCCTCCCAAGAAGCTACAGGTCACCAGCAATGAACAATTACACTGTAAATCATACTTACTTGTCAATCCTAATTACTCCCTTCCTAAAACTAAGTGATGAGGGAAATGGTAGAGGAAGGAGGGAGAGAGGAGCATATCGTCTCTGGGTGGAATCCACATTTCCCAGGTTGGCGTCCAAGGTCGATTGTGCATACAGTAGGGACCTTACAGTCTTACCTGAGTTTATCTTCAGGATTTGGACCCTTCCAATGTTTCTAGTTGCACTGGATGCAGGTTGTGAAAATCTGTTGACATGAGGTAGGAAGGAAGATAAAAATGGAGCATGACTCAAGGTCTGCTGCCCCTGGGGGCTGTCTCTCAGCTCTATGGAAAAAGGGGCTATGAGCAGAAGCTGACGAACCTTCCACTGAAGACTCTAATGCTGGCAAATACTCAGTATTGCTTAACACCCAGACGGATGAGAGGAATTCTCCTTACTCCTTCACGGGCACTAACACAGGTGAGAACATCTTTGGCAGGATATCAGTAAGCTCTCAAGGTGGCAACCAGAGGCGATATATCGAGGCAGTTTTATGAGCAGAGGACGTTAGTGCACGTAGGTGGGAACAATATGAATAACAGATGTGATTAGAAAATTCTGTCAGGCTTGTTCCTCGACACCCGTGAGATGCCTCCTCGAATTAGCTGGGTGGGTATCCGAGGGGAGTCACATGCCCTGCACTGAGAAATGTGGTTAAGAGTCAGGGAGTTTTGACTCATTCCAAATAACATGGCTCCATTTGTTGTCCCTGGATAGCGAGATTTCAGGAAACATGAGCAACCAACATAATTTTGTCTATTGTTTTCTAATCATTTCTGTCAGCGTTAAGTCCTCAAATAAAAATTGAGTATAACACATTATATCTCTTCCCTGTTCTTTCCACCTGTGTCCTTTCAGGATCCTGAAAGGATCCAAGCACTGGTTTTTCTGGCGTCACTTGCCTGGACAAGATGGTGTGCATCCAGTATACCTTCTTTGGCACTCCACAGACGCCAGTGGTTCTCTCTCAAGGTTGGCCTACCTGCCCATCTTACCTTCCGCTCAGAGCACCCCTGCCCTTCCTCCCCAAGCACCAGATCCAATAATAAGGAAGCTAAACCTTGCCCTGAGATGTATGCTTGTTCAATTCAGTCCAGTGGAATGAGTTTACCGTTGCAGCTGGTGTGAGTTGCATTTTCCACTAGAGGTCTTGGAAAACAAGAGACTTCGGGGCCTTTTGTCTCTTTCTATTCTTTAATTAATAGGAAAACCTCTCCAACAGGCATTTAGATTGCCTCCAGGATGGAGCATAAAAGAGAATGGGTGACAGTCATTTCCCGTAAAGGAGGTCAGAAGAGGAGAGAGAATGCGGATGGCAGCACGTGGTGTTAACAAGATAAAACGGAAAGAAGAGAGGGAGCCCACCCTCTGGCAGAGTGTGGGGTTGGGGTGTTTGTGCGCATGAGGGTGCATGGTGGTGGGGGTCAGGGTGTAAGCTGAAGTCCTGGATTCGTAAGGTAGAGGGGAAAAAAGCCTGTAGTATTCAGTGGTTAGAATGTTAGACCAATCTGGGTTATATATAGTTCGTAACCCGCATGACATTCCGTTAATCAGTAGCTGGGTCTGGAAGACTTAAGGTGCAGCAAATTTTGAAAAAAAACAGAAACCGCCCCCCCCTTTATATTCCATCACCTCTAAGTTATTTATTAATTAAATCTTTTGCTTTATTCAAGAATCGATGCTCTGCATACCAGTGATCTCAAGTGCACACAACACTATTGTTTTTTTAATTTATTTATTTATTTTGAGAGAGAGAGAGAGAGCTCGTGAGCGAGCATTAGTGGGGGAGGGACAGAGAGAGAAAGGGAGAGAGAGAGAGAGAGAGAGAGAGAGAGAGAGAATCCCAAGCAGGCTGCGTGCTCAGCTCGGAGCCCGACACGGGGCTCAGTCCCACGACTGTGAGATCATGACCTGAGCTGAAATCAAGAGTTGGATGCCTAACTGAGCCACCTAGGTGCCCCCACAACACTATGTTTAATGCAAAGATAACATGAAAAGTGTTGTTATATAGTTGCAATTGTTTTAAATATAATTTATTGTCAGATTGGCTAACATACAGTGTATACAGCGTGCTCTAGATTCCCGTGATTCATTGCTTACCTACAACACCCAGTGCTCATCCCAATGAGTGCCCTCCTCAATGCCCATCACCCAAAGTTGTAATTTTTCATTTAAAAAAAACTTGAAGTTTATATAATGTTTTCATTTCTTAGTAAAAATGTTAAATATACTTAAATCTATTGAAATATACTTGACATATAACACTGCAGCTTTAAGGTTGATTTGACACATTTATATACCATAATATGATTGTAGCAATAGTTACTACCTGTATCATGTCATATATTTATCATTTCTTTTCTGTGGTATGAGTAATTAAGATCTAGCCTCTTAGCAAGTTTGATGATTATAATACGATATTGTTATCTACAGTCACTATACTACACATTAGATCTCCAGTACTTTCTTATTAATCAGTTGTAAGTTTGTACCCTTAAACATCTCTCCTATTCCCCCAACCCCCAACCCCTGGTAACTGCCATTTAAATTTAAATTAATCGGAACAGGCAAATCTTTTCCAACCCAGAGGGTGACTGATGGTCTCAGGCTGGGTCAACCGACTTTGTTTTGGTTCACATGGACCCTGATGTCATGGGGCATTCAGTATTTACCTAGAAAACCCCAGTCACCCCAAGCAAATCATGAATTTTGTGGTTTCCTTGAAGATTTTCAGGGTGAAAAGCAGTTTTATATCACCTAATATAAAAACGTCTAGTCGGGGGAAAACCCCTCCATTATTGATGTCATCTGACAAGACCTTTCTCTAGGTCCTTGGCTTCCAAAGGAGCCTTCTGTTCTGTTACTTTCCCATCACCTTGAACCTGGGCACTTTTGAACAAAGCACGACTTCATCTTACAAGGAAATTTTCCAAATAATGGCCAAGAAAATGAAAATTTTCTCCATAGGATTACGGTCTACAGTGACAAACCAGCATTCTCTCTTTCTCTATTTTGCCTACTCGATCCCTGTCCCTACTGGTGTAATATTTATTTTTCCACATGTTTTAGAGAAATGTATTATTTTGGTTTCTAGCATTTGCGCACAATCCCCTTTTTTATTCTTCACGCGCTGTGTTACAGGGAGGGTGGAATGGAAGCGAAACCTCCCCACGTGCCTCCCAAAACCCTTGTACTGTGATTGCCTGATCCCATGGCTTGTCCTGGGTGTGTTCCTTCTAAATTCAACCTGTTCTCTGCTCTCTTTTCTTCAAACTACGTTCCCAATTCAGTTAATGGGACAGTTGAACTCAGGTTGTATAGGACAGTCTAGATGGAAGACTGTCTGGGGGGAGGAGGCAGAAGTGGGGGAGAAGAGACACCCAGCCCTATGTAGGCTTTGGTGCCCCAGCCTTTAAATGGAAACAGCACTTTGGTGTCTATGCAGGGCCAAACCGTATAGGATCTAAGGGTGGAAAAACATTACAAAAAATGGACCACAGTGTTACAGATGTGAGGAATCTGGCTGCTTTATATAAACATAAAGACAAACCCAAAGCATCACCCAGGGAGGATGACTAAGGGAATGTCACAATGCATAGTGCTCCCAGGAGGTCAATTCGGAACTAGCCCTCTTACCAAGTCCCAGGGCCACCCCCCCTACTCCAATCTAGTCCCTGTCTCAGAAAAGCCTGAGTGATCCATGTGTAAACACTCTACGCAGTGGGTTCCTCTGTAAACCTGGTCCAGACTGGTGGCCAGTGGCTCGGTCCAGGCCTACGCCATACCAGTTGAGAAGTATCTTGAACACAAACTACTTGGTGGAGGGGTTTCTGCTTCCCTTCCCGTCACCATCCCACGGGCACCATATCCTGATTCCTCATTCCTCAGGGGAAGATGCTGAAGGGAGGAAGCTTCCGGAATCCAAATGCCTCTCCGACTTTTCCTCTGCTGGCCGCATCTCTGTACCCAGCTCCTGAAGAAACTCCAAGAGGTGCAAAGCGACAGAATCCGCCCCGTTTTTAGAAAGCCTGACACTGGCAATTTTTTGCAGCTTATTTTTCATCTTTTCTGTCTCCTTTGAGTCCTGCTTTATTTTCACACCCTGTATGAAATGGTGGATGGCTCTGTCCTCGCTCTTCAGCTGGTAGAGCTGGAAGTTGCCATAGCGCAGGTGGAGGACTTGTTTGGCTACGGGAGAAAGCTCTTTGCAGAATTCCTTTTGGAAGTAGCACTCTGCTTCGTCGTACTGACCTGCTTGTGCATAGAGGCAGGCCAGATAGGAGCAGACACAGGGGTGGTTTGCATCGGCCTCCTCCACTCTCTTCAAATGATACACAGCTTGCTCAATGGCTTCCTGTAACTTTTCTCTTCTCCAGGACATGCCATTCTTTCCTGTGTCCTGTAGGATATCGAGGACTTTTGCCCTGTAGCAGCACCCAGTGTAGTAATGCAGATAGGCATTGTTGGGCATGCCTTCTAGAGCCTTTAGAAGCAGTTCGATAGCTTTGTCTAGGGCTCCTTTTCTTTTAAACAGCTTCGCTGCTCCACAAAGCACGTCGGTTGCACACGGGGCCCCCTCCAAAGCTTCCTCCACAAGCCTCTCTCCTTCACCTTCTTCCTTCATCCCCTGAAGTTTCAGAGCCAAGAGCACTTTCGCATACCGGTTGTCAGGATTCAGCTGAATGGCCCGCCTCAGAGGGTCGACGGGATCCTGAGGCAGCGGCCAGGTGTCCAGACGGTAGCTCGCGATGGCCAGGCCAGAGCTGAATTCTGCGTTCTGGGGATTCCTTTCCAGAGCCTTCTCAAAGCACACCTTGGCCCTCTCGTTGTGCTTTCCTCCACACTGTAACCGGGCCCACCCCTCCTCACAGTCCATCTCAGGACTCTCGATTCTGTAGGGGCTGCGGAACTTCTCGCATACCCGTCGCACCTTGTCCACATACATCTGAGCGTCTGCGGGTCTGCCCAGGTGGTAGTAGACCCAGGCGTAGTTTCCCCAGGTGACCAGACTTCTGATGTCTGCCTGCTCCGCGTGCTCCCGCTGGATCAGCTCCTCAGCCCTCTGTAGGCACCCCAGGGCAGCCTCATCGTGGCCTCTGCGGTGTTTTATGTAGGCCAGTATGTTGAACACCGTGGCTTTGAATTCGTTGTTCTGGAACTCCGTCGTGTTACATACCTCGTCTTCAAAGTCATCCAACGACTTTCCTCCCTCCACCAAGTTCCACGTGAAATGGCATTTAAGTTGCCGCAGACAACTCTCCAAGGTGTTTCTGGTGGTCTCACTGGAGGGCGAAACAGAGAGATGGACACTTTGAGACACAGCACGGATTCTCCAGGAGCAGGGCAGACACAACTCTCCTCTCCTCCTCAAGGGTGTTCACCCCGCTCAAAAGAGAACAATATTTCCTGTTTGTTTCTTTCTATATTTTGGCCTATGCATTAAATGCACAGAGACTCGGGGATTGGGTGACTGGGCGGCAGAGGAATTAAGGAGAGGGCAGTGGTGGAGTTGGGGGAGGGATGCTCTGAGCCCGGGGCTGGGTTTCCCTGAACAAGGTGGTTTCCATCAGGTAGTGCTGGGTCAAGCCTGGGGGAAGGGATTCCAGCCCACGGTGGACCTGATGCGGTTTTGAAGAAAGGCTATTTGATTACTTTCTGTTTCTGTTCATCTTACCTAGCATTTACTTCCGTGTTTTGAAGATGTTAGCTTTAGAATGGACTATTCTTTTAATGTTTTGCCGGCTTGATTTTAATCTTATTATCCCTCTGAAGTTCAGCTGCATTTTGTCCCCTGTAGTTTTAGTTCCTTAGTTCTTCGTCTGTCCTTTTTAGCATTATTCCTTTCTATAGCCTATCTTATTAATAAGTTTTCCATATATCCTTAATTGATTTTCTTTGTTTATCCAAACTTTTTTTTTAATCCCATTGGCTTTGTCTTGTCTTTTTATTTTATTACTATTATTATTACTATTATTACTATTTTTTTAATGTTTACTTTTGAAAGAGAGAGACAGAGCATGAGCAGGGGAGGGGCAGAGGAGAGGGAGACACAGAATCCGAAGCAGGCTCCAGGCTCTGAGCTGTCAGCACAGAGCCCGACACAGGGCTCAAACTCACAAACTGTGAGATCATGACCTGAGCTGAAGTCAGATGCTTAACAAACTGAGCCACCAAGGTGCCCCTGTCTTGTCTTTTTATTAATTCAGCATTCTCTGTCCTCATTTTATCTGCACTTTTACATTTTAACCATTTAAATTGTATTTCAATAATTCTAAATTCTTACTTCTTCTGCTTTTGTATTATTCTACCCCTTAATTTTATTATATATGCTAGCAATGTTTTAAACTTTTATTTTGGAATAAAATATGATCATTTTTTTCTCCCCTCCACCCCCACCTCTATTTCTTAGTCTGGAGATTTCTGTTCTTAACATCTCCCATTGTGTTGGTCTATTAAAAATTTTGCATTTGTTGCTTTAATTATCTTTGGAAATTTTATTTTTCCTCTCCTATGGTTTGCTTTCACTCATGGTGTTAGAAGTGCAGCTCTGGGAGGGGGCTCAGAAGACAGCTAGCATCTTCTGTTATGGGAAATGCTTCTTTTCCCTTAAGGTACTCTTGAAACTCTTCTGGAAGAATTTTCCACTCCCTTCAGTGTTAGTTCTTTAAAATGGAATGGAATGGAATAGAATGGAATAAAATAAAATAAAATATAAAATAAAATAAAAACTCTCCACCCCAAAACCCCATCTTAGATAACTTCAGCGACGAGAAGGTTAAAAATCATCAACTGCCCCAAATCGTTTCTCTGCATTGCCTATGTAGTGGAGTCCCTGAAATGTTGCTCTTTCTCACTAAAAAAAATTTTTTTTCTTCAGGGTATATGTTAATTAACCCTTTTATGAGGAGCTGATATTCTAAATGTTACGAATTCTGACATAGACAAGCAGTAGATATCTGGGAAGTTACATAATGTGGCAAATACCGCTGTTGAAATGTTGTCCAAATGGAAGATTATATTCCTCCATTTTCTTCTTGTCCCCTATCTTTCACTTTTGATACCCTCCCCCACCCCCATCCCCCAATTTGATGACTAGATCAGGGCTGGGCACCCAAACTCAAGTGGAAGCTGGAAATGGAAGTGCAAGGGAGCTGGTTTTCTGGAGTCAAAGAGAGCACCGTGCACACTGGAGGTGTCATGGCGTCCACGATCTGCAGCACACAATGGAGTGGCTGTGACTGGATACACATGCACAGGACAGAGACTCTGGGGCTCCCAAGCTCTCCTTTGTCCTGTTCTGGCCCTCTAGAACAGTGGCTGGCTCTAGTCATGTGTGTGGGTCCTGTGAGCCCTTCCAGGAACTTTAAATCAGTCCCTGTTCATTTCTGTTACTTGAATCAGATGGAGACTCAACTACCCCAGGTAGAATAAACAGAAGAGATGAAGGAAAATGGATAGGAGTTCCTGCTTGGGGAAGGACCCTCTGTCCTTTCAAAGCCCTGGATAGGTCTTAGTGAAAAGCCAGGATGTCTGAGCCTCTTGATGTAATATGGGGGTTGGTGTGTGTGTGTGTGTGTGTGTGTGTGTGCGCGTGCGCACACACACACACGCACACATGTATATGTATGTGAGCCCAGGAGAGTGCCTGGTGTGGTTTCTGTCACTGTAATGACAGCAGCCTCCCCTTGAAAAGTTCACGTCCGACCTGATCTATTTTCCTTCTCAATAAGGTTTCAGGAAGATTCCCTTAGCACATAAGCTCTTTAGCAGCTTTCTCATTCTATAAAAGAAACAGAGTGAATACAGTTGAAATTATTGCCAACATATAGAGCATATGGTCAATTGTGCATTTGCAGGAGAGAGGCACTTACTATACACACTTAGGTAAAATCCCTTTGAGCAGCCATTCAAAAGCATCCAATTTCACTGTGTGATTATGGGCTTTTATTTCTACCAGTGAATCAGAAGCTGGTTCCAGACACTTGCTTCCTGGATTCAGACTTGTGAAAATTATGCTCCTGATACCTCTAGAAGCACCAACTGTATACACACAACACTTTCTTCCCCTGCTTCTGGTCTGGATGAAAGCCACGGTGATGGTTGTTTACTGGGCTCAGAGCCAATGCCGTTACCAGTGTCTTAGAGCAGTTAGAAATGGACATCCTTGGACCTCAACCTAGGATTACCAAATCCGAATCTGAAGTGGGGACTTGAGCCCAGGAATGGTCTTCAGCAAGCCCTCCAATTAGACCTCATGCATGCTCAAATTAAAGAACCACTACCTTAGAATGCAGGGCCAGTGCCTGGTGACAGTGCCCATAGCTAAGGGACCGAAGACAATTAGGAGAGATACTGATAGGTCTGTGTTCTTAAGGGGAAGACTCTAAGAGAGACCACACTGAAGTTCTAAGAAATATTTCTTTTTTTTTTTTTTAATTTTTTTTTTCAACGTTTATTTATTTTTGGGACAGAGAGAGACAGAGCATGAACAGGGGAGGGGCAGAGAGAGAGGGAGACACAGAATCGGAAACAGGCTCCAGGCTCTGAGCCATCAGCCCAGAGCCTGACGCGGGGCTCGAACTCACGGACCGCGAGGTCATGACCTGGCTGAAGTCGGACACTTAACCGACTGCGCCACCCAGGCGCCCCATAAGAAATATTTCTAAATATTCTGAGTTACTCTCAAACAGACATCTGGAAATAGATCAAATCTTTCTATTTCTTATCAGACACACATGTAGAGGAGCAGAAAAAAATATCATTTCAAGAAGAGAGAGCAGGAAACTTATAGAAGGAGGGCAATGTATCCCCTAGGAAGTAAGTGCCGGGGTGGGTGTCTCCAGATTCTGGAGCTCCCAGGCCTGAGGCATAGGCATCTAGTCTGTTCACCCCACCCTCACGCTGGAGAAAACAGAAATCTCCCTTCCTACCCTTCTTCCTTCCCGGGAAATCTTAGGTTTCTGAGGTGTGAGAGCATTTTTGAGGTGGGGGCTATTTTCTCCAAGCACCCTGCCTCCAATTCATACTTCAGAGAGAAGGACTCTAGCTAATCAGTAGCATTTGGAGGTAAAATATATTTCTATTGAGTGAATGAATACATTTTACCAGCCCTAATACAAATCTGAGATGAATGAGCACATTAAAAGTAAAATCTAGCTTAGCATGAGCTGGGGTTGCTACCCAGAGTACATTTTAACAATATCTGCCCAAAAGAGATTGTTCGTGAAATAAGAATCCTATTAAAAGCCCCCACTTAATCCTTTCAAAACAAAAGAGAGTCTACAGGAGCAATTCCCCCAGATCCATCTTTACATGAAGCACCTGCCTGATAAAGCATCTCTCTCTCTCTGCCTTTCCCCCACTCCCTCCCTCCTCTGGACCTCAGCTGTCAGCTTCCCTAGGAGAGACGCCCTAACAAAGCTTGACTGCGTGGGGCAGAAAATAACAGAAATAAGCCAGCCAGCTTCGGTAAGACAAACACACGACTACAGACAGATGCGCAGCAAGGCTACAGGCAAACACTAAAGCAAAACAAATCGGGAACTCGTGTTTCAGGAGCATGGCTGTATAGGATTTGCATTCCACAACGAGATTGATTGGACATTTTCAACACGATCAGAGCAGGCGAATCTTTACCTCATGATCACGGGGCACTTCTCAACTGTTCTGAAAGGCTGCAGCTCAGGCCACTGTGCTCTCCGGAAATCTTCCTCCTCTGCCTCAGAGAGATGCTAAGGAGACCTATATATGGAAGCATCACCTGGTTTCTTTACCTCGCTTTCTCCCGCAGTTGGCTTGAGGAAAGAGAAACTGAAACTGGAAAGTGAAACTGGCAAGACTCCTAGGGAAAATGAACCTTGAGTAAGGGCCAAGCCTATAGCACCCCCGCGGCCCCACCCTGCAGTGAGTCAGAACTTCCTCTTTGTTGTGATGTCCTAGATCAGCTGACATCAAGGCAGCCCAGCGTGGAGAAGGATGCATACACGTATCAAGCACCAAGCACCCTGCTTCATTACTGTAATGTTAACCCATCCTCACTCTGCCCGCCCTTATCACCAGTGTGGCCCACAGACCCCTGTAAGGGTTGGGGTTTGTGTTGGTTTTCTTCACCACCGAATCTCCAGTCCCTGCAATAATACCCAGCACGTGGCAGGCATTCAAAGGGTAGAGGCTGAGCGAATGACTAAATGATTGGAACCGTGGGCTCTGATGTCACCTGTCTGGATTTGAACCCGGGCTCCACGTATATGCCGTGATGCTGGAAATTATTGAACGTTTCCCTGTGCGTTAGTTTGTTCTCCTGTGAAATGGGGATCCCACTACTCCTACCAACTCATAATGGTGTTGTGAGCATCAAATGTGTGAAAGCATGAGATGTCCTCAGAATAACGCCTGGCACGTGATAAGTACACACTAGTTTTTTTTATCATACTCGAGAGCTGAAATCATTAACCAAAGAGACCAGAAGGGAAATCTTTGATGTTGCCTCTTCTGGAGCTTTAGCTCCTCTGTCCATCCACCATCCGCCCATCATGATCACTAACCTAAGCCAAACCCGTGCAAGTTGTGGGCTTCCCTGAGCACCGCAACATTTAAAATCCCTCGGGTCGCCCCGGTATCCAGCACCCGCACATTGCAATGCGCAGCCACGCAGGTTCGTGACGATGGAGGACAGCTACTTTCTTTGCCTTTTCCTTATTCAAACCCTTGATCGCAAAGGGGTTACCGTGTGCCTAGACCCAAGAGGACAAGAGGTAACAGCACCGGGCGTCGCTGAGGCCGGGAAATTACACAGAGCACGAGTGAAACCTATTCTCCACGACAGGTAGTTCCATCCTGGAGATAGCATTATTTATGGTAGGCTTTGTATTCATAGGGGTGGGTGCAAGCAACAGCTAGGTTCGTTGACAATCCTCTGCCCTTTTATCGGGACACGCGGCCAAAGCTATCCCGGTTGGAAACCCTTACTTTTAGGTGTCATTCAGGAGTTACCAGTTCTAGTATGTATTTATAGAAATGCATGTTAGATGTACAGGAACCACTGCAGAAGGAAACTAGGAACATTGTAGAATTTGTTGTTTGTATTGAATCTGCATTCAGGAAAACTATTGGACAGAAGTGTTTAAATCTTATTATACGGGTAGAAGGTTGGGGGCAAGCAGGCTATAGCTGTGTTGTGAAATGCCCGGAACTATTGTTCTACTCTTTGGAAATCTATCCGGCCAGTGGCTTTGTATAATGGGTTCATGACACGATGTACCAGCTGCTTTGGCAGCCAGGGTAGTGTCAGAATATGCAGTGTGGATGCAAAATAGAAACTGAAAAAGAAAACCCAACTCTCTCCTGGTAATATTTCCATTTTGAGAAAAATGAAACTGAACTCCCTGAGAGTTGCGATTATTCTGGCCCTTACAACTATTGATGTGTCTGTGTCCAGAATACAGGGTCAGGGCTGTCCCTGTCTCAGCCTAGACTAAAAGAGAGTCCTTGTTTGCCGTTCTGAGAGTGGGGAGGGCCACCTGAGTGGCTACATCAAGTGCAAAGTGGTATAATACTCTAGTTCCCATGTTGCCATCAGACACAAGAAGTATCAGCATCCGGCCATCAAAAAGAATGGAATCTTGGCAATGACATGGATGGAACTAGAGGGTATTATGCTAAGCGAAATAAGTCAGAGAAAGACAAATACCATATGATTTCACTCATATGTGGAATTTAAGAAACACAA